TCTCTCTCTCTCTCTCTCTCTCTCTCTCTCTCTCTCTCTCTCTCTCTCTCTCTCTCTCTCTCTCTCTCTCTCTCTCTCTCTCTCGGTGCTTTGGCGAGGTTCGCCAAGCTATCCGGGAGTCGCTGGAGGGCTATGTTCTCCGGTATGTACCCCGGATTAAAGAGGTATTGGAATTTGTAGGGGGTCTGGGCAGGTACCAGTGTACAGTATAAGGGTCGAACCGCAAACGAGGCAACGCGGATTTTGTGACGACTCAATGTACAATACATGGGGCAAAATTTTTCGAATTTGTTCATGACGACGCGGTTTTCGGTAGAGCAGGAACTATGCGGCATAGTATAGTCAGATACAGATGGATTTACTACTAGTGTAGGATCGGGTACGGCGTACCGACCGGAGGAGGAAAAGTAAAGAGGGAAAAATTGTGGCCTTGCGCAGGGTTAATAGGCAGAATGGCGGAGGGATTAAGTTCGGCAGAATACGTCGAACGAAAGGGCTGGAGATGGTAAGATTGGTAATGCTGCGAAGGGAGGGAGGATGGCGAAGAAGGGGGACCGGGAAGGGAAGGGTAAAAGGCAGCGGGAAGTGGGCGACAGACGGATGGGTGGGAATAGCAGAACGCAAGAGGAGCACGCTAGGTGGCAGTCGACTGGGGGGAAATCCGAGGCGCGCGGCACTTGCGGGAGCGACTAAATTAGTAAGAACAAGGAAAGAAGAAGGTGACGGAAGGGGAAGAGGAAGAAAGAAGGGAAGGGGCAGAGGCGATGGATGATTCAGGTAAGAGAGGTAAAGACGAACCGGGATGAGATGAGAAAGGGAGAGCGGGCAAGGAAGGAGGGCGGATGAATCAGGGGGGTAGTTACGGTCGGGTACTGACGCAAAGATCAGGTAAGATGGGGAGCACTGTGGTGGTAGTTCGTAGGAGGGTGCGCGTAGGAGTAGGATAGGAGTTCGCGCGTAGGAAGATCTTCGCAGATTCAAGGAGCGATCCCAGGGAAGGGAACTATATAAGACGATGATGGAATGGGAATACCATCTCAAGGATGAACGTCGAAGTTCTCTTGTTCTTGGTCCAGCCCCCTGATGAGCTGTTGCCGTACGTTGACAAGCGAAATGCGTCGGGGCGAAACGTACTAGAGGAAGGGAGGGTGAGTAGGAGAGGGAGAGAAGAGTGCATTAGCCGGTTGGTTTGATGAGCTTTTGTGGACACGTCTCAGTTGTATGGAGGGCGTTTTTGGTTTTTCCTCGTGAAGAAAGCACGGGTGTGCGAGTTGTCTCAGTTTATTCACGTGATTTCATTGGAGTGACCGCTGTGCGTAGATGTGAAGTACGAGCTGCTGTTTCTTAGAAGCACGGGGGAACGAGCTGTGCATGTTTTTGATTATGCATAAGGAACCCTTCCAATCTATTCCCTTCCTGTGATTTTTCATCTTGCTATTAATCTCTCTCTCTCTCTCTCTCTCTCTCTCTCTCTCTCTCTCTCTCT